GTGAGCAGCCAGCTTCTCCAGGAGAATGCTGTGGGAGACAGTGTCAGAGGCCTTACTAAAGTCCAAGTAGACAACATCCACAGCCTTCCCCTCATCCACTAAGCAGGTCACCTTGTCATAGAAGGAGACCAGGTTAGTGAAGCAGGACTTCCCTTTCATAAACCCATGCTGGCTGAGCCTGATCCCCCGATTGTCCCACACCTGCTGCATAATGGCACTCAAGATGACCTGCTCCATGACCTTTCCCGGCACCGAGGTCAGGCTGACAGGCCTGTAGTTCCCCAATTCCTCCTTCTGACCCTTCTTGTAGAGGGGCGTCACGTTTGCTAACTTCCAGTTGTCTGGGACCTCCCCGGTTGACCAGGACTGCTGATAAATGATGGAGAGTGGCTTGGCCAGCTCCTCTGCCAGCTCTCTCAGTATCCTCGGGTGGATCCCATCTGGCCTCATGGACTTGCGAGCATCCAGGTGGAGGAGCAGGTTGGTGACTGCCATCTCTTTGACAACTGGGGCTTCATTCTGCATCCCATCTCCATCTCCCAGCTCAGGGGCCTGAAAACCCCGAGGATGACCAGTCTGACTATTAAAGACTGAGGCAAAGAAGGCATTAAGTACCTCAGCCTTCTCCTCATCCTTCGTGGCAATGTTTCCCTTCACATCCAACAAAGGAGGGAGATTCCCCCTGGCCCTCCTTTTGTCGCTGATATATTTGTAAAAACATTTTTTGTTATCTTTAACGGTGGTGGCCAGTTTAAGTTCTAGCTAGTTATGTGTGTATTAGGGACAACAGAAACAATAGGACAAACCCACACACCACGCGTGAGCTGGGTCAGGGGAGTGGATACTGCTGACTACTTACGTGTTCATAACTGCGGGTACTGCAGAAACATGTGCTTCCTTTCGGGAGACACACAGCTGCCCTTGACAGCATGCATTGCAATGAATGTGTAGAAAATGTACAGCAAGCGGCCCACCATGAAGTCATCTGTTTATTTTGGGCTTAGCAGAGTAGCAATTGGCAAATTGCTCCTTGGCCCTATAGAAACTGGTATTTCTTAGGGTTATGTTTAAGGAAATCCCTCTCCACCTCCTGCCCAAATTTAATGAAGTATAACCCCATTATCTAGTCAAGGGGCTCAAGATTTCAGTGCTGGCCAAAACCATGCATTGCATCTGCCATGTCCCCAGCACTTCCATCATGTCCACGTAGCAGCTTCACTGGCTGCTGCCCCTCTACCTTCAGCAACGATTCCCCAAGCAGCTGCAGCCAGAGCCCAAGCCCAACACACTGGTCACCAGAGCCTGGCCTCCCACTGCTCCACATCTTGCCATAGGGTGGGGAGGAGTTTCTGTATAGTCTGCTGCAATGGCCTGCAATGGCTAGGCTGGACTGTCCGCAGTTTTTGACAGGAGCCTGATAGTTTGTCCTAGTTGTCAGGCTTGGTACTAAAATCTTGGGGAAAAAAAAACAAAACAAAGCCCTGCAAGGTGGAAGTCAACTGATTTCTGGCAGTTGAAGACCTATTCCTATCTCCTTGCACTCAGCCATGAAGGAACCCCCCAAAAGCGGAGTGAACCATGTTCTGAACCTGGCAATTCCCAGGTTATATGCACAGCTCATTGGGAAGATCTTTTCCCTTTGTGCACAGCATATTAGTAACTACTGAGTATTAACTAAGAGGAACTGTAGTATTAATATGGCAAATATTGACATTATGATGAAATCTGAACCAGATTTATTCTCTAAATAAATGTGTTCCTTATCTTGGAGCTGGCTGATATTATTCTGGTTGTGAAATACAGATACATTGCAAAGCAAATGATGTAATGTCTCCACCAAAAACCTGAAGTCCATTATTTCCCTTTCCTGTGCTCCCTTCCTGTGTTTGCTGTTCTTTCCTGCATTGCCCTGTGCAGTGAACTTCTGGTCGTATAAATACGACTACTGAGGAACTGAGGTTAGAAAATTTGTCTGAGCATTTGTCAGACTTTTTTTTTCCACGCTTGGCTTTGAAAGAGAAAAAACACTGCACTGGTAAAAATACTTATAACTGTATTTTGTCTTTAAAACCAGATCTAATTATAACAGCAAATTCATTCACAAAACACACCCATTCTAATTACAGATTGGTCAACCCACATTCATGGTGTGTTGGGAAAAGTTAAATTAGTCTTTCTGGTTTCAGGAGGAATCCGCAGGGAGGAATTTGCAGGAAGGGCTCTCTCTGTATTACTTCAGTTCTGCTGCATCCATGAGAGGTTTTATTGAGTGTGACGAGGCTCTGCTACTCTCCAATTAGTTTCACATGCCTGCCTTTGTATTAACATTTTTAAGAAATCATAAAAACTGATGAAGGTGTTCTGAGGGTAGTGTAAGGCCCTAAATTAATAATTTCCTCGTCTAGCCTACAGCTGCTAAAATTCCTCTGAATCAGGTTGCTATCTATCTGCACTAGAAGTATTTTTAAAGGTAAGTATTAATGTGTGTGTGATGCTCCACATAATTTTAAAGGTTTATTAGAAATGTGAATTGTAAGTTTCCAAGAGGTGTTGAGCAGTTACACACTTGTTGATCAAGAAATTAATAACATAATACTTGAAAGCAGCTATGTGCCTCACAAGGCAAAAGCTGGCTCTCCAGCCCTCTGGTAAACTTTAGGAAGGTATTGGGAATGAGAAGAAATCCAGCTCTTGGGAGAAGGCAGGTGAGTTGGGGCAGGATGTCTGCTGTCAATGACCTTCCCTCTGCAGGTGACATGTTCTTTGGGTTCCGCTGTAGTTTTCTGGAGCTCCCAGGAAAACTTAGAGGCTTTAAGCTCTTAGCTTGACTTCAGACTATGGTGCGATGCGCTTTGCACCCTGGGCTGTGATCCTGGGCTCCTGCCTGTTCAGATCAGAGGAGCCTCTTAGACAGCAACATGCTTCCCTACGGCTGCCTTCTGCCCTGGCTCCCATGTTTCCTTTGCTTGAAAATCAAGGCACGGGTGGAGCAATAATGAATACTAAGTCTGTTCCCAAAATACACCTGTGAGGTGACCAGGCATAAACTGATGTGGGTTAAAGGATAGGCCTGATCCCAGACATGACAGTGGCAAGCATGGTATGGTAGCTGTGTATAGAAACAGGCGTGAACTTGGACACTGAGTCTA